CAAGCTCTCATGAAATTGTTTCTTCCTATTGACAAAAGTCGTGAAAACAATTTTCTTAAAATATTTAGAAAGGACGTTGTTTGTACTGATACAACTCTCTCTGCCAATTGGCAAGGCAATTCCAAATTCTTAATTTGTGAAATTGATAAATGATTTATGCTAATGTATTCGTAAACTTGTATACACGATCACCTGCGGCTCATGAAAGACGCTTTCGACGCCAACTCGAAACAACCCAGGAGTGTTCCGCCTTTCTTCGAACAAAAAGAAAAACATTTATAGTTAAAATGTTGGCAGTTTCCTTCATAGGGAAGAAATTCTGCTGCGATGCTCAAGTCGAGGTTTGTACAAGTTATTGTGAGCGAGATCTCAACTTGTCCCTTGTCAGAAAAGATATTTTAATTCATTTCACGTTGTCAATTGTACATTGAAGAGACGCGAAGATTAACTTTCGAGCGATTTTTCAACCGAACATCCAGGCTTTCAAGAAATACACTGGATTTTTTTTGGAATTATTTTTTATATACTCCGATCTGCAAGGTATAATTGGGTAAAGGAAAATCTGATTTTCATTTTGATGAAATACTGCGGTTTTCAAAGTCTGGTTCACACCTAAGTACGCTATGGAAATTAAATTCTCAATACTGAGATATTTTTCTCCCGTGGAGAATACAGTTATGGCGGTAAGATTCCCTCAGTGGACTAAAGCCATTTTTTTCAGGAGAAACCTTGATAATATCTCTTTCTCATTTTTTTTAATGTATCGATGATTTTTTATTTCTGCGGTATATTTTTTCTATGCTTCCGGTCTTTGAGAAGTCAAAACAAACCTTCCTCTATATTTTTGCGCGTTATATAATCAATTTTTTTCTTTTTTTTAATTTCGATTTGACGCCAAACTTAACTTATAAACAAATTATGAATAGTAAAAGATGACGTACTCGGGGAATTACACAAGTGTATTAGGAAAAAAAGAACTCCGAAGAACTCTACCTTCTTCCGAAACTCGTGGCAGTTGATATGTGTTGTTGTTGATGTCGTTTTTATTTATTATCCATTTGCGAGTTGTGACATAAGCCAAGAGAGACAGTTATATAATTTTGCGCGAAAATATTACAGGGTGTTAGCATTCAGTTTAGAAGTATTTTTCATTTCGCGACTGTGATAATGATACCGCGAAAATTTCGTTATCATTTCAGTCTTTAATTTTTCTCGTTATATTTTCAAGTTTTGAAAGTGAAGGTAAGGGTTTTTTTGCCATCGTGTTAAGAAGGAGACGATGAATCGTCGATCTGAAAAAGGGAGCGAAACGCAATAAATTTCCGCAAGTATCTCTTTATTCCAGGAGGCTAATGTCAAGCCAAAAGTGCAAATCTCTAACCTTCTCTAATTCTTTTAGAATGGGTATAGACTGCATTTCACCGTAGCCAATAAAAAACAATAATATAATGAAGCTAAGTTCACAGCATAAATCAAGTACCACAAACAATTATAATAAAAATGGAGGTAGTATTGTTCTTTTTATGGCCTCACACAAAATCCATGACAGATGCAGGGAAGCTGTCGGTGTGAAATTTATGATAAATTATTATTTTTGATTATTAATGCGACAAGAAGGAGCCTTCTGAAGAAAAAATTGTTTTCAATGAGAGACTGAAAAAATAACTTCGTGTCGTTGGTGGGTAGTTTCGTGCCAAAACCTGCATTTATTTTTATCATCTTGGGATTACTCCTTTGCAAAACAACAGGCTTTGAAGACAAAAGCACAGGGTTTTGCAAGCGCTGACTTCTAAGTTCTTTATTTCAAATTAACTTGTGTTCGCATTTGCAACGTGAAGAGAACAGTGGGACGTGTTTATTTCCGTTTTTGTTCTTTTGAAGCTGGGCGAGGAAGTAAATTCTGCTCCTCTTAAAAGCCTGAACGAAAATATTAAGTAAAAAAAAAAAAAAAAAACTTGAGGTCCATCTTATTGCGATTCATTCGAATTGGCTGCTAGGACGGTTCTCTGAAATGGACACCCTTAGAATGTGACGCCAGCAGAGTGTAGGTAGTCAGTTTAGATAATATTGATTCATCGTGAGCATAGTAATACTTAGCCGTACGGCATTCATGAAAAAACAGGAACTGTTTTATGATAAACAAATAACCTAATATGTAATAATGTCAGCTACGTTGTTAGGATGTATTACTTTGTATCATTAACTTTGCTAAACCGCATTGAATTCTTCTGCGGATAAATGAGGATTATCTATAATGTTAATTATGTAAATTTCGAAGCCTTGTTGTGATTCTCGCGTCAATCGTAACTAAACAACCTTGCGGACCCACCCTCTCCTCCATTATCCTCGGCGTTCTATTCAATTCCCCTAACAGATGGTCACTGCCCATTTTGCTCCTGGGTGGAGAGAGACAACATCTGAGCTATCACTCAGACCCAGACCCCAACTCTGTCTAACTCGCTACCATGTCCCTTCTTTGCTGTTGGTAAGTAAACGTAATTCTCTGTTTTCCACAGGTCGCAAATGACATCGAAAATGGTGGATTGCAGCTAAACTTGAAAGTTCGTGAAACATGTGGACAGTTCATCAAAACACCCGAACCAGTTCTCGCAACACTTCATGTAAGCCTAAACAATGGGCGACGTGAGGATGTCAGCAAGTGTAAGGAGCTGCTTACTTTTCTAAAAGAGCAAGTCTTGCCGAAGACTGTAAAACTGATAAGCTTAAAGAGGATTAAAAAAGTTAAAGATGAAGACAACAGCGATGGAAGAACTTTGTTCGGCTGCATATGGCCAGGAAAAACGAAGAAAAGGTAATTTAAGCAGAGCACTTCTCTGACAATTCTCTGACAAAAACAATAGCACTTTCTTAGTTATTACCCAATCTACTTTTAATAAACCAACTCTCTAGCTGCTTTCATATTGTACCCATACAAGATGCTAGCTGCGTGGAAGAAGATAACAGAACTATAATATCAAACTTAATTTCTTTTGTTGAATAAAAAATAGAGAAAGAGAGAATTATGGCAAAAACAAGATTTTGTTTTAAATTTGTATCAATTTAAAAATGAATGCTTTTTGATGTAAAAATTTCCTTTACAGGAAAGAAGAAAACAAGAACAGATGCACACGAGGTATAAAAAATGTATCATTGTTACAATTCCTTTGGTTTACTTATTTAAGTTTTTTTTTCACGTCGTAAAAATATTTTCTTTCTCAATACAACTATAAGGCCTATATGGAAACGTAGCTTCAAAATAAGATTTTTCCATTGTTTTAAGAATTTTGCTTTAGAATCAAAGAATTACTGAACTGTGTCTTCCAGCGACAGACCTCCTCTTCGGCACAACCAAAGTGCCTTTCTAAAATGTTTCAGAGTGGCGGGTTGGATGTTTACGGGTACGAATTTCTGCGCACCTTACATGATTTATTTGATGCCACTGCTTTCCATGCCAGTGTATCACTGGGCTCATATTCTCTCAGCAAGCAAGACCGGCTGATTGAGTATGTGGCACTTCTAGAGATTTTTGCTAGCTTGATTCTTCTGATCCGTTATCGTCGCCTAATTTATAAGTTTTGATCATGAGGGTTGTTGAATTTAAAAAAAATCATCCCCTCAAGGGGGGCGGGGTTATTGGCACTGCAAGACCCCACCCTTAGCGATTAGGCCTTTATAGATGATACTAGTATAATTTTTTGCATAATTTAAGCAAACTGGCACAATTTCTGCCAAGTAGCAATGCTAGCATAATTCGCATATTTTGATAATTATCGGATCATTTTTGATGCTACAATTTGATCATTGTTCATCTCTACTCCCAAGCACTTGGTGACGTTATTCGATGTTTTAAGTTTTAGTTCAAGTAGTAGTAGCATTAGTAGTTCACTGTAAATCACTGAGCGGCGTCAGAAACGGTCTGAGCCCGGGTCTGGGGTGCACCGGAACCGGAAGTCACATTTTAGGCCATGTATAGTGCATGTTAACATGAACCACATGTTAACATGAACCACATGTTTATTTGAGTTTCATTGTGAATTTGTTGCATTTCTTTCTGGTAGACCAACGACTTCTAATTAAAAAAATTTATTTTTTGGACTTATCTGCAATATTTTCGAAGAGCATAATTTAAATAAAGGGGCATAATTTGGAAAAAAAGAGCATAATTTTAGCATAATCTCGCCAAGAAAAAAAGCAATGCCACTAGCATAATATATTACTTTTACTAGCATAATCCATAAAGGCCTACTAGCGATGCCCTCGCCAAGATATGACTTCAGCGTCGAATTCTGCTTTAAAAACGCAAATGATTCGATTGCCGGATTTTCATTTTCAGATCCCAAAAATTCGTTATTCGCGATCTGACGCTGTTTTTTTAAGAAGTGGCAAGGAAGTAGTGGGTATTCCCTCGTTCCTGTTTAGATACAAGTGTATGTTGGTTTGATAGTGACATATTTTAATTAAGCTGTCGTTACTGTTTATTTCATAGGCTATTCTTCGGATACAGACAGTTATCCTCAGAAATCTGTTTTCCGCTCTAGCATCAAACTCGACAGTCCAAATATGCCCCAGACCTCTACGGCCGGCATATTGGCCACACCCTCAGTTACCCGCGCAAATCTGTCACGTGTAGAAAAAGTCACATCTAGAGGCAACATCCTTGAGGAAGAAGAAACCCTTTTCATAGCAAAACTAAAAAACACTTCAGATGAAAAGATATCATTAAATCGTCCTAATGAAAGCCATTTAGATAAGACAGAAAATGCCGATGTTAACACTCCGTATGACAACCTCACCACTTCTTTTGCTACGAAGGAAAGGAGTAAAATTGTGAAGCGCAATACTACGAGTTGTTTTGGAATCAAGCGATCACGGAAACTGGGAACTGGTAAATGTCACGTGAGCGAGAGAGGTCCGCAGCGCGTGCAAAATGTGAAACCAGAACCTCCATCTAAAAACACTGCCATTCCTGGAATGATTACAGAGAATAACCTGGATAAGCAGACGATACTTGATCTGGAACAATTTGCAGCTCAGTATGTTGGCAGAATTTGTGAATTAGCACTTTCAAGGAAAGTAAAGGAAAGCTGCAAGGACTTTGCAAAGGTTTATGTCAATAACGTGCTCACTCTAGCTTGGAACAGAATTGATGATCTAGAAAATTTAAAGCATAATGAGAGAAGCGTTCGTTGTGCAGAAAAGTGTAGTTTAGAGGTCGAAGACCACCCCAGCTTCAGTAAGGTATGGAAATATTCTCAAGCCCTCGCTGAAGGCCATGATTTCTCTGAAGCATGGACAACAATAAAAGATACAACAGTGAATGGCGAAGAGCTTGGCTCATCTTCGGAACTCTTACAGAGCAATGACGCAGACATTACAAACGATTGCCAAACTGAAGACTTTGAGCGCGACATTATGAAATCAGCGTTGTCGAGTAATGACAGCCTTTCGGAGACCTCTCCCAGTTCCGCGAGTGAGTCAATGGAGTTTTACACACATCGAACGCAAGAGAGAGGTGAACCAATTGCTCCGTGCAAAATTGAGAACGAGGCAATAGTTGACTATGCGCGTAAGAATGCGGAAGTGGGGAAGATGGAGCACGAAAATTTCGCGTTCTTCACTCAAGCAGGTGAAGAGGATGGCAATTATCCTCTTGACGAAGCAATCTTTGAAGAAAATGGAGCATTAGGAATTTCTTCTAAGCCCCATAAGGAAGGCGGAGAATTGCCACCAGGAAAAACAGGGCATGGAAAATTAGTCATCAGGATGCAAAGGACTGATAACCAACTTGAACCCAACTGCAGTCGAAGACAACCTTGTTATAAAAGGAGTGTTTCGGAGTCTCAAGCCTCAGAGAGGAAACAGTGGAACTCTTCACAGCCTGGTGATGACGACATACAAGCAAAAAATAATTTGAGTCCCACATGTAGGCCAGATAACACCCCTCCAAAGTTTGTTCGATCGATTTCATGTCCAGATGTAACCGAGGCAAGTGAGATTTTCGATTTCAATTCTGATTCTATTGCATGTATTTAGGATATCTGTTGGAAATGATGGAACCTGCTTGTAGAAGTGTTTGAAATGTTGACGTGTAACGACGACGATGAAAATGATTATAACGACGAAAAAATAACCAAACAAATTGCAGGAATTAAGCAGTGAATTCTAGCTAAATTCTTTGTCATAACTGTTCGCTATGGTCTCATGTTACTCGCTTGTTTGAGTTATGTTGAGATAATAATTCGTTTTCCTAAATTTAATTTTTCTAATGTTTTTATGTAACCACATTGATAAAAGCTGCACGTAACAATAATCCTCAACTGACTGAACACAAAGAGTCTTTGTTTCTGTGCACGCGCAGTTCTACCTAAATTAACGATTTTTGTGACAACCTCATCGCTACTGGTCCTATTTGTCATGCGCATAGTAATCGGGGGAGAAGAAGAGAGGGGGCTCTGGGACAAAATTGTAACGTGCTGAAGCTGGTGACCATGAGCATGTTTTGTATCTTTTCCTTACAGGATGATGTATTTATTGAAAGCATTCTGAGCCATCATGGAGACGTTTACGACTCACTTGCCCAAAGGACTTGGGTAAGACTTTGGAAGACTTTGGTTCAATCATGATAAAAATGTTAAAATTTACTCGATCCTCCCTTCCCCCCC